GAGAAAGAGACTAGCTCAAGAAAGATCTCGGCACTATGCTGCCTTACATTAGATTCGATACCATGTGGATAAACATTATGGTAGTGCGTTCATAAGTACAAGTGAGTAGGTGTTATCCATTCGAATCAAAAGGTTCTGTAAGAAATTCATTAGGTATAGTCCCTTGTTGGGAATTTAGGTAAGCAAGTGGGAAGGATTATCCTAGGATTATAACTCAATTCGAAGAAATCATTATAGAACTCAATTCCTCAAGAGGTTGTAAGTACGATAATTGAGATAAAGAGGCTTCACAACTGATACGTCTCGTTGAAAGAGTAGATACATGGAATGTTTTGTGAATCGTGTGTTCGATATAGATATACATACACAACAAGGAAAAGCATGTGGTGTTTAGAATTATATACTAAGGAGTGACTTACTTTGTGACTTTAGGTTGATCGGGCGGTGCCTTAACTGATGCCTCTCGACTCCACATCTATAACATACATTGGTACTATAGTGACATATCACTGAATGACATATCCTAAACTTCACACAACGAGTATGAGGTCCGCTAAACTGACTCGCCCCACTAACTTGATATTCACCCTTTTTGCATACATCATAAGCATCCCCCTTATCCTTCCTCCAGGCCTCCAATGCAGGAGTAACAAACCCCGTACCGGTTTGCTATGTGGGCCTTTGGAATTTCCCAAACCCGCCACCCATAACATGATGCTGAGCATACTCCCAACACGATGCCAAATATTCATTTTCGGACATCGGGCAGACTTGGATGGGTGTACCCAACCTAGGGAATTTGATCTTCTTGTGTCCCTTCTTTCCACAACCGTAACATATTTCAAGAGTCATCCAACATCTCCCCAAGTGAAGCTTCTTGAAAATCAAACAATCCAAATCATTAGCACCAACAACCCTCTTTCGTATCTTAGATTCTCTCACCACACGATCCGGTGGTGCGGTGACATTGGTGGTAACAAGGACACTTCCCTAAGCAATAAGTTCTTCCAATCCCTCCATGGCTCGGCGCATTCTCCCAACGAACTCTTGTGTAATCTCCACCAGATTCAATGGCGGAGTCATTCCCTCATCGATGCTTTCAACTCGTGGATTACTCATCTGGAAAAAGAGGCATAACGAGGAAATTAGCTTCATATCTTGAGATCTATTGCACGATCTGGAGTATCAAAGAAGTGTGAAATTCCTAAATGTCCAAGCAGCCTCCTCATTATAGATGTGGTCGACAACACACCGATAAGAAGGACTCTACTAGACATGGCTCCAAGACATACTAGGACACTTTAAAACCTTAGGCTCTAATACCAAGTTTGTCACGCTTCGACCTCGAGGAGCTCGACCCGCGCTCAACCGAGATACCCTAGTTAAGAAAGCATGTTAGATGACTTCTACCCAAACTTTACCAATAACAATGTAAGAACCAGTACAGGTGATAGACATGAGAAGAGTCAAGTGTTCCACAATATTTTCCACTACTAAAGGATATTCATTAATGATTTCCAAAATATAACAAGTTTATTGATATGATAAAAATATGTTCGCCCAAATACCAACACTTACTAGTTTAATTCCCAACATCATATACCACCCACGACCTGTCTACGGAACCTCTAAGTACAACAGAAGAGTAGTATGGATGTGCCGGCGACAAGGCCCTGGCTATACCTCAAAATGTAACGTACAACATCAAATGACATGAAGCCTGGAATAGAGTAGGGCTCTCTAAAATCTGTTGAATAGAGACTAACTACTAACGAGGTTCAAAACCACCTGCTGACGAATCACCTACATCCATTGAAGAAGCAGCACCCCCGATACAAGAGACATTAGTTCATATGGAATAGGACTAGTATGTAAAGGTAAATGTCCACTTTCAAAATAGAATACGATTACAAGAAAGGGAAAACCATAGAAACAGCAAGTCACAATCAACAATATCCAAATGCCCAGTTAACAGATACAAGTTTTCAGAATACGAAACATAGTGTATATATATTTGGTTGGGAGATCATTTGCACCGATATACCACCATGGTTTTAGCACGGAGTCCGATCACACCCGATCGGCTAGGCCATCTCCCTACGGACAATGTGATGCGAAAAAAGGTGTTACCAAGAGTAGTACAACCACGTGCGCAACATGGCATCCGGTCACCACCCGACCGGCTAGGTCATCTCCCCACATATGCCGTGTGAGTTGACATTAAATCTAGGTCTATCAACAATCTCATCCCAATTAAGGGGAATAATCACAATCCATCACCATCCACCCCTACACCAGCACGTGTAGTTTTGGTGTGGGCCTTATGACCCACCCTTCCTTGGTTTTTAATGATACTCCCAAAAAGATTTTTGTTTTTGCACACAAAGGTAATAAAATTACAAATGTATTCACCTCATCGTCTCTTACATTGTATAAACCTTCATTAGTATTTTTAACCATTGACAACCACAAAATTTCCTTGGCTCTTTTGGCCATTCACAAGATTCTTTATTCATGGCACGGCGACTGTATTTCATGTTCCACACTTTCTTTTCTTTACTTTCAAGGATCACCATCAAACATCAACATATAGAATATCCTGAAAATCACAACTTTAAGTTTATTAGCAATGAATAATTTAAACACAATGAATTCCTTTCCAAGAAATGGAGTAAAATGATTGGTCAAACCACAAGTTAGAAGCATAAACGGGTAACACATATCATTTAATCTTGAAATACTTTTCCCAAAAAGGGCAATACACAATTTCAACTCATGTATATATATAATATATCAAGACATATTGGAAATACTTATAAAGCATAACATTAGTTAAAATAACCACGTCTGGTGTCGGGTTATAAAAACATCAGGTTCTTGCTCAAGAAATCGTCCATAGAGTCTATAAAACGAAATGGGGTCGGGTTATAAAAACCAAAATAATGAAGCTCCGAAATAGAATTTACGGTCGCATATGTGACCGCATAATGCTTATGCAGTCCGCGAAATGGCCCCCGGAACTGGGCAGTCCTGCCCCACTCTACGGCCATTATGCGATCCGCTAACTTGTTCTGCGGTAGCATAATGCGCCGCAGAACCTCCCTCCGGAAAAGTCTTCATTCTTGTTTCACGGTCGATGTGCAGCCCGCGGAATGGTTTTGCGATCGTATAATTGACCGCATAATACCATCCAAATTTGCCTAGTTTTCTGCTTCACTCTGTGGCTATTTTGCAGCCCGTAGAGTAATTCTGCGGCCGCATAGTGGGCTGCAGAAATGTCTTCTTCTGCCAAAATTTTTCCTTTACTCCCCAATGTGCTGTTCAACCGAACAAGTCCGCACCGCGACGAGCAAGCTCGCCGCAAAGAATTTCTACCATCACCAAACATATTAGCCTACCTCGTCACCACAGAACCTTGGGTTTTAGGTGAAATTTTACGTGGCCTTACAGTAGATGCCTCTCTCCGAGTTCTGGTGGCGATAATGTTTAGATGTTTCCTCTTTTCTTTTGTTATTTTCCTTCGTACTTTTGTACTTATGATTTTTGGCATTTTGATAAATAAAAATGACTTTTGTGTGTGATCGACAACTCCATGAATCGTGCAAGAAAAGTTTTATCTTTAATCACATACTGTTGCATGGATTTCTCTATTGTGTCGAAAAAATCCCATACACTTGATTTACTACCAGTTGGGAATCACATTTGATATTTATGACCTCAGAGCCAAGTCTCCGAGCTTGCTCGGGTCCTGCAACCAAAGCCTCACACTCAGCTACATTGATAGTTAACAGAATAGTTTTTAAGGCTTGCCTTAGAGTTTCCCTCGAAGATGCGATTATGACCACCACGAGCCTGGACCCTTTCACATTAGAAGAACCATCCATGAACAACGTCCACAATCCTGGTGTCATTTCCGACACCAGCACCGCTTCTTTATCAGTAGGGGAAATAACCCAAGATTGAAATCAGCCACAAAGTCGGCCAAAACTTGTGATTTGATCGCAGTCCTAGGCTTGTATTGAAACCTAAGAACTTACCGGAGCCAACCCCTAACATGCATTTTTCCAGGTTGAGCTTCATGTTATGCTTCCTCAAGATATCAAAGGTTTCTTGCAGGTTCTTTAAATGATCACCTGCATTCAATGACTTGACCAACATGTCATCTATATATACTTCCATTTTTGTTACCTATTTTCTTCTCAAACATCTTGTTCACGAGCCTCTGATAAGTGGCTCCGACGTTTTTTAAGCCCGAAGGGCATCACATTATAAAAATATGTGCCAAAGTACGGTATGAATGAAGTTTTTTCCTGATCCTCTGGGTTCATCTTGATCTGACTGTACCCGGAACAGGTATCGAGGAAACTCATTAACTCGTTCCGAGCCGTTGCATCAATCATTTGATCAATGTTTGGCAGTGGAAATGAGTCTTTAGGGCACGCCTTATTCAAGCCTTTATAATCTATGCACATTCGAAACTTGTTATTCTTTTTCGGAACCACAACTACATTATCTAGCCACTCGGGATACTTTACTTCCCAGATTGAACCGATGTCAAGTAGTCAAGTTACCTCTTCCTTAACAAACCTGTTACTGACCTTGGCTATCAGACATTTATCTTTCCTAACCGAAAGAATACTCGGGTCAAGGCTTAGCTTGTGCACGTCCACCTCTAGCGGGATATCAGTCATATCTGAGTGCGACCATGCAAAACAATCAATGTTAGTTTTAAGGAAATTAATAAACCCTAACCTGATCTCGGGATTTAGTCATGTTCCCAAGTGAAACTTCCTCTCCAAGAATTCCTTGAACAAAGCCATTTGCTCGAGTTTTTCTACTGTGGATTAGGTTTCATCTGTCTCTTCTAGTAATTGAAAGTATCTTGGTACCTGGTGGGATTTCGACGACTCCTCACTCTTATCATCTTCACTTGGCACAAGAACAGGAATCAGTTTCTGTAATTACTATTTGTTTAGCTTCTTCCCTTTACTACTAGAAATCTACATAACGTTCATTTCTCTTGCTACCGGTTGATCTCCTCTTATCTGTTTGATTCCCTCTGGGGTCAGGAATACTAGCAGTTGGTGATATGTTGATGGTATGGCCTTCATCTCATGTAACCATGGTATATTGAGAATTATATTGTAGCCCATGTTATAGTCCACCACTTCAAAAAAGGTGGTCTTCGTTACTCCTTCAGTGCTCGTGGGCAATAGGATCTCTCCTCGGGTTGTCACACTTGCCAAGTTGAACCCGGCGAGGAGCTTTGTTGTCGGAATGATACTTCTGTTAATTTGGCTTGTTCCAAGACTTTCCATTGAATAATGTTGTCCGAGCTTCCTGGGTCAACATAAATACGTTTAATTTCAAATCTGGAACATTAAGAAAGATTACCAAGGCATCGTTATATGGCATAAGAAGTTCATCGGCATCCTCCTACATGAAGGTGATGTCATCTTCGGCAACTTCCCCGAGTCTCTTGCTGTGAGTCACCGATACCTTTGTTTTCTTTGCCACCACGAAGGTTACACCATTGATTTCAGTCCCTCCAAAAATCATATTGATAGTAAACCGAGGAGGGTCTTCCCCTTTCTTCGAGGGTTCGGCATTAACTCGTCTGCGACCGTAATTGTTCTTGGCTCGCTCGCTCAAGAACTCCCTGATATGGCCATTCTTCAACAGCTTTTCCACCTCCTCGCGCAGATGCCGACAGTCCCCAATTTTGTGACCGTGAGTCCCATGATATTTGCACCATAAGTTAGGATCCCTCTTGCTGGCATCATATTTCATTGGCTTCGGGAATTGTGCTTTTTTGATATTCCCCATCGCCGATACCAACTCCACTATGCTGATGTTGAAATTGTGATCTAACAACCTAGGATAAGTGGAATCCCAGGTCCCCGATACCTATTTTTCTTGTAATGATCTATTGTTTCGGCCACAATCAGTTCTTCTTCCAGGAGCGAACCTATCCGAGGACCGGAACCCTTTACTGACATGTCCCTCGGCTCTATCGTAAGGCAAAAGCGGCCCTTAGAAGATCGCCGGTCTGCATCAAAATTATCCTTGAACTTATCCCAGTTCTTGTCTCGACCCCGCCCCTTGGTTGATGTCGGGAACCCAAGCTGATAATCTTTTAGCCTTATCTTTGATTCATAGCACTTATGGACACCTACCCATGTGGTCGCTTGGAATTCGAGCAGAATTTGCTTCGACGTCCGAGAGGCATCAGAGGTCCTCAGGTTCAAACCCTTAGTGAATGCCTCCGCTTCCATTCTTCAGGTACGACCGGTAACATCATGTGCGATCCTGAATATGTCCGCCTTCCTGGCTTGGACCTTTCTTGCCCCGGCATGGGCCTTAATGAATGAATCTGTAAGCATTTCAAAAGAGTCTATTGAATGCTCAGGTAAAAGGGAATCCCATGTCGAGGCCACCTTCGCGAGGGTGTCTCCAAACTTTTTCCATAGAACCGATTTGATCTCATGTTATGCCAAATCGTTCCACTTCACAACCGTTGTATAAGTTGTAATGTGCTCCTGAGTGTCTGAGGTCCCATCGTATTATGTTATGTTCGGCATCTTGAATCTCTTCGGGATTAACTCCTGTGGTGCGCTTAGTTTAAACGACAAATGAGTATATATTTTTAGAATTCGTGTCCTTCAAAACTGGTGGTGTGCTTGGAATTTTGTCCATTCGGGCGTGAAACTCCTTTGCGTTATGATCCATCCGCTTGTTTATCTCCTTCATGAAGCTCATGAGTTCGAATTTGAAGGGATCATTACCGTTGTCGTTAGCAGATCCGCTACCGGTCCCCCCAGCACTGTCGAAGCCAACCTCACCACTCGGGGTATTGTTATCGGCTCTTTGAGTCTCATGATTTGAAAGAACGCCGGGAGGAACCCGACCTCTTCCGTTTGCTTTGTTGTAAGTTTCTGACAATGCTTGCTTCAATTTCGTTGTTACTCCCAAGCGCACACACAAGTATGCGTGGTCGTACAAGTAATAAAGTGATAAATCGAGTGTCGAACCCACAGAGACTTGTGCTAACTACCCACTAGTTTCACCAAGATTATTATTTAGTCGAGTCAATCAGAGTTCAAAAGTATGATTATACTAAGCAATAATTCTATCAAGTAACTAATTAATCAAGCAGCGAAATAGTTGTTGTGTATTCAGTCGAGATTGATATTCCAGGGTTGTGATCGATTCACCAATCCTATTGTGTTGTAATTAACTCTCCCTTTCATACAATTAACTCATGGTTGCTAACTAATCAAATAATTGCTCTCGTAGTATTCTCCCAAATTACTACTCGCCTATTCAAAATAGATTAACTCCTATATTCCTATGGAATCAATCTATTAAGAACTCATTAAGATTACAATATTTAATTACGCATGATCACTAGGTATATTCCTATCCTAACCACAAATACCCCCACCCCCCCCTACATAGACTTAAGATCATGCCCTCTTCAATTCTCCTCTAATCTAGACGTAGCTTTCCCAACCATAGCATTGATAGTAGATAGAACCCAATTGTTGGTCAGACAATTATTCAATTAATCGTAGAATTGAAGAAACAATCATATATTAGCAAATTCTAATCAAGGTTAAGTCAACATTAAAACAACAATATTCATGGCTAAATCACAACCCCAGAACTATGGGTTTTAGCCACTCATGATGAGATCAAAACAAATTCACAAGTGTTGAATAATTGAGAATACTAAGAAAAGATGAAGAAAACTGAGATATCCTCGCTCCGTTTTGCCTCCAATCTCTCACCTTCATCCCATATTGCCTCTGAATGATTCCTACACATACAAATATCACGAATTAGCACAAATCATTATATTTCACATCCGAAATATATGAAACATGAGTAAAATACGAGGCAATATACATATTAATATATATACTTTACGCTAAATATCAACACCCCACACTTTGACTCTTGCTCGTCCTCGAGCAATGGGACTATCAACTACACCCCAATGCACAACTCAACTAGAGAGGAGCACTTCAATTTTTAATCATACACTCTACCCTTGACTATGTTTGATACTGACAATCAAGCATGAACATACAAATTTCACATTCTTCCTGTTTTAAACATGCCCAAATATAAACATTTCAATTCAATTAATCCAAATAACTTATCCATAACCACCATACCTCAAGAGCCGATTCATTACCATTAAGCTCCCTCAACTCATGCACTACTGCAAAACCGTGCAAATCTCTACTCCAATAAGCCTTGTTTAGCGAATCGGCCTCTGAACGCTTCGAATCTAGCAAAAAACAACTCGATACAATCAACACAAGCTATAAGAACAAATTCCATATAACAAAGCTACGTTCTTTAACAAAAGTCAAAAAGTCAACCCTAGGCCCACATCTTGGGATCCGACAAAATTAGCAAAATAAGAACACCCATTCAACCACGAGTTCAACCATACAAAAATTACTCAATTCCGGTCACAGCTCGACCTTCAAATCCTCAAATTAATGTCTCTAAAATTTCTACTATTTCCCCCAATTTTTCCGAGCCAAAATACTAACTAAATGATAAAAATAATGATAGATTCAAGTATATTAACCAAATTCGAGTTAGAATCACTTACCCAAATTAATACCTTGAAAATTCCTCCAAGAATCGCCTCAACCCTCGTTTTTGATATTTAATAGTCTGCCCATATGTTCTTCTTTGCGATCGTGGACAGTCCCTCACGATCACGAAGAAAAAAAATAAGATGCCCACAAAAATGGCCTATGAAAATGCAAATACCAAGTCACGAACGCGATACACATACTCCCAGACCTACGCGATCGTTAACCCCCTCACGCGATTGCGAAGAACAAATCACGTGTACTCCAGTCTCTCTCATTCTTCTTCGCGAACATGACCTAACACACGCGTTTGCGTAGCACTGCCTTCCGAAGCTTTGCTATCGCATACACCTTCTCGCAAATGCATAGCTAAAATTCCCCAGCTGCCTACATTACTCTTTGCGACCTCGATCCTCCACTTACGATCGCGTATAAGGAAACGAGCAACAACAAAATCAGCAGTCCCTCAAAGTTCTAAATGTGCCGAATATGATCCGAATCGCAGTTCTAAACTAATGAATTTCCAACTTTTACAATCGATGCCGAAACCTATCAAATCAACTCCGATTGACATCAAATGTTGCACACAAGTCATAAATGACACAACAAACCTATTTCAACTTTTGGAACCAAAATTCTAGTCCGGTAACCACAAAGTCAACTCTTGGTCAAACTTCTCAACTCTCCAAACTTCTATTTTTTTCTACCTTTCGCCAATTCAAGCCGAAATCATCTACGGACCTCCAAATCAGTATCCAGACATACTACTAAGTCCAAAATCACCATACAGAGCTATCAGAACCATCAAAATTTCATTACGGAGTCATTTATACATAAGTCAACATCCAGTCAACTCTTTCAACTTAGGCTTCCAACTTTGGGATTACGTGTCCCGATTCATTCCGAAACATCCCCGAACAGAACCAACTATCTCGGCAAGTCACATAATAACAAACGAGCACAGAATAAGCAATAAATGAGGAAGCATGACTGTAATACTCAAAACGACCGGCCGGGTCATTATAGTTGGACTCATTATCGAATGAGTGTTCGGATGTTTTACGTTTGGTCGGGTATAAGATTCGAGCCCAGCGGTTAACCTTTTTAGTTGACTTTTTTATTTTCTTTAAAGATCATAAATTTCTTATTCGGAATAGTTTCCTATGGTTTGTATTTATGGTATAAAGTTATATTTGCTAGATTCGAGTCGTTTAGAGTTAGATAATCGCGGAAAAGGCTTACTATTGGATTGAGTTAGCGTATTTTAAGGTAAGTGTCTTGCCTAACTTTGTGTGGGGGAATTACCCCTTAGGATTGGTGTTGTTTTATGTTAATTGTGGTATGTGAAATCCGTGTACGCAATGTAACGAGTGGGTACACGAGCTAAATGTGGTAATTGACCGGTTTAAGCTATGTAGATTCTTTCATGCCTTTAATTTAATTGTCATAACATGTTATATTCATCATCTTTAATATATCCTTACATACTTCTCTGGATATTGTTAATACTTGTCTCATCTCTTACTTGTTATTTGCCCTTACATGCGTAGTTAAAGGTATTATTGTCTCATTGCCTTGTTAAATATTTAACTGTTGAGTTACCTTACTTGAAGTTGTTATTTCTTGGAATATCTTATTATTGAGTTTTGGTGTTGATGTTGTAAAAGCCGTGATCACATTGAGGCAAAGTAGCAAATTGTTGAAACACCATTCTTATTGAGTTATTCCCTTTTGGTTGCTATTGTTGAGACTCTTGTACCTATTGTGTTCGAGCCATGGGCTATTTATTATGGAAAAATTATTAGTGTTGACTTCTTTGGCAAGTTGTGGTATCGGGGAACTTGAGGTCCGATTTGTGATATGTTGTGATATCGATACGCACGCGGTGGTATAAAGATAAGGGTTGATACACATGCTGTGAAATAATGTGGCTTTGATACGCGTATTGTTAGTAGGGGAACTACTTGAAGCTACGCGGTGTGATAAGGTGGGCTAAAACGCGGGTAGCTATTTCGGGAGAGTGATTTTCAAAACTAAATGTAAGGCTCCCGCGGTGATATAAGGAATGATTGTGATTTTGATTGTGAAATAGACTACGAGGCGGTACCTCGATAGTGATTCTTGTTACTATCTTTCATTTACATCACTTACGTCTTGTTTGCATCATTTGCTTGGCATTCTTATTATGTGTTTTCTCCCATGATGTCTTTA